GGGGGGGGGAGGGGAACTGGTGGTGTTGTGGTATACAACTCGATGAGTCATCGCAAAAGTAAAACAAATGTGTGAACGAGATTGACGGCCCAGGTCGCGGATGGGTCAAATCAGTAGGGAATCTCTCGAGCGCGCAAAAAGAACGGTGTATGCATTCACAACCTTCTCTGGATTGAACTGTACTTATCGTTGCTATTACAGGTGCCGGTATACATGATCACTTTGGAATAGAAGAGGTTTTTGAACGAGTAAAGTTAACTCAGATTACCTTAGTGAATATGTTGATGATGCTCCTGCTGCTGCTGTTGTTGTTGTTGTTGTTGTTGTTGTTGTTGCTGCTGCTGATGATGATGATGATGATGATATATATATATATATATATTCCATCCCCTCTCCCCCTCCCACCACGATGTAACAACCCCACCCTTTAGTCAAAGTAAACAAACACTGTCTGCATACAACCGGGCCTGAATTCCGTGCAAAATATCTCACATTCTTGCTTCTATCTATGTGATGAATACCAAACCTTTCTGGATGGAGGCAACAAACTTCTGATGCTCGCAAGTGGACTGACGTTTAATGAAAGTGATCCCGAATCACGTGGCTACGGTGCTTCAAAACTTAAAATAGCCACATTAAACTGGAAAACGGCACCGAAAGTGCAACACAGTTATGCCAAGCCCCACTGACCAGGTGACATTGAGGTACCGTGGCTTACGTACTTNCGTACTTAAGGCAATACGTATTTTTAATTGGGGCTACATTACATGTACAAATGTTTCTACCTGGGCAGCTTTTCCGGGCCAAATTCCATACACACGTGCTCGGAGTTCGGTTACCAGTTTTCTGAACGAAACAAACCATTGTGAATTGTGGATTACGGGAGTTCATTTAAATTTCATTCAGGAATTGACAAACAATGTAATAATATGAATATGAATATGTGTATGCGTGCATGTGTTTCAGACCACTTCAGATCAATGCTGTCGTGTGTAGTTGGCGTTCTCGCCGATTTCCACATCAGCTCTGGACAGACATATATATATAT